CCATTTAAAAAAAAAATATATATATTTTTTTTTTGTTTTTTTTTACACACTACTCTTAGGTTTGCCACCTGACTGGTATTTTAAGGCACAGCCAGTATTTGAGGCTGCCTGGCCGTGACGGTATTGCTGCAATACCAGCACCGGCCAGTAGGGGTCACTGTGTATAGAGAGAGGCAGGCATACTAAGTTACAGAATATCCCTGCCTCTCTCTACTACTTACTGATCCGTGGGGGAGCAGCAACACAGCACAGAGTCCAGACAACAGCTCTACAGCTCAGGTAAGTGAGGGATGGGGGGAAAGGCAGCAGGGACACTAGGGGACACTGAGACACTAGGGGACACTAGGGGACACTGAGACACTAGGGGACACTGAGACACTAGGGGACACATGATGACACATACACTAGGGGACACTGAGACACTAGGACACAGACACTGGGAGACCTGGGAACACTGAGACACTTGGGGACACTGGAAAACATGGGGTCACTGAGACACTTGGGGACATGGGGACACAGACACTAGGGGACACAGATACTAGGGGACACATGGGAACACAGACACTAGGGGACACTGAGACACTAGGACACATGGGGACACAGACACTGTGAGACCTGGGGACACTGGAAAACACAGGGACACTGAGACACTAGGGACACATGGGGATGCTGAGACACATGGGGACGCTGTGAGACATAGGGACATTTGGAGACATTGGGACATGGAGACATTATGTCCCCCAGCCAGTGTCCCTAGGTTCTCAGTGTCCCCAAGTCTCCCAGTGTCTGTGTCCCATGTCTCTCAGTGTGCCTAGTGTCCCCATGTGTCCCAATGTCCCCATGTCTATGTCCACAACTGTCCCCATGTCTCCCCAAGTGTCTGTCTCCCAGCCAGTGTCCCCTAGTCTCCCAGTATCCCCTAATCTCCCAGTGTCCCCTAGTCTCCCAGTGTCTGTGTCCCTAGTGTCTTAGTGTCCCCAAATGTTTCAGTGTCTCCATGTCTCCCAGTGTCTGTGTTCTTAGTGTCTCAGTGTGCCTGGTGTCCCCATGTCTCCCAGTGTCCCTATATGTCCCAGTGTCCACATGTCTATGTCCACAACTGTCCCCATGTCTCCCAGCCAGTGTCCCCTAGTTTCCCAATGTCTGTGTTCCCATGTCTGTATCCCTAGTGTCTTAGTGTCCCCAAATGTTTCAGTGTCCCCATGTCTCCCAGTGTCTGTGTCCCTAGTGTCTCAGTGTCCCCATTTCTCCCAGTTTCCCTAAATGTCTCAGTGTCCCCATGTCTCTGTGTCCCCGGGTCTCTGTGTCCCCATGTCTCTCAGTGTCCCCAGTATCCTAGTGACATGGGGACACACTGAGACATTGGGACACTGGGGGAAATGGGGACACAGACACAGGGAGACTAGGGGACTGGGCGAGATGGGGACACTGACACTGTGATACATAGGGACACTGAGACACAGGGTGACTTGCAAGACTGAGACACTGGGAGACATTGAGACACTGGGAGCAATCTATACAGCAGAATCAAACTGTGAGTAGTTTGTTGGTGATTTTACAGAATTTTCTCTGATGTCACTCCTTGTGATTTACACGCATAACTAATTAATTATGCAAATGATTAAGGCTGGTATTTTTTTCCAAGAAATGTGGCAACCTTAACTACTCTTCACATACTCTTGCTTAAAGGAGCACTATAGTGTCAGGAACACAATCATGTATTTCTTACCCTATTATGTTAAAACCACCACCCTGGCCCCTTCTTGCCTCCCTAAATATAGTAAAATATTACTTGTATTCAATTCTGCAGCTGCTGGCTCAGAAGTGGTGGTCTGAGCAAATTACAATACTTCCCCATAGGATTGGCTGAGACTGTCAACTAGGCAGATCAGGGGCAGAGCCAGCACAAGTCCAACATAGCCCTGGCCAATCAGCATCTCCTCATAAAGATAAATTGAATCAATGCATCTCTATGAGGAAAGTTCAGTGTCTGCATGCAGAGGGTGGAGACACTGAATGGCAGTGCTGCGCACTAGGCAGTACAGCCCTAGGAAGCACCTCTAGCAGCCATCTAAGAAGCAGCCAGTGGAGTTATTTTCTCTGAAAAGACAGTGTTTACTGCAAAAAGCCTGAATGGAATGATTCTACTTACCAGAACAAATACAATAAGCTGTAGTTGTTCTGGTGACTATAGTGTCCTTTTAAGTTTGGAAGCTTAAGAGGGATGTATGGGAACAAAACTTGTGTGCACTGGCTGACATTAAAGTTAGTTTAGGTAATGCAGATGTTGGTCTCTCTAACACTGTGGCATGTCCCCTTTCTTCTACACTCACTACAGACACCTTTTCTCTGTCTCAGACTATACCAGGAACTTCTGCCTGCTAGTAAGAAGGTAAGGAGACAAGTGGACCAGCGAGTGCTAGGGGACAGTCCTTAGAAAGAATGGAGTGAGCGCATCATTAGACGCATTTATGTCAAGCTCAAGGTGCTGCCTGCATTGTATGCCCTTAGTTGGACAGCCTGCAGGATTGGCAGGCAGCCTGACATGCATTCATGCCAGGCTGACCTTCCAATTCTTTGGACAAACATGCCCCCTTTTTGGGCATATTCACCCCTTTTGGCAGGTCTTGTCACGTGATTCGCGCCAGTGGCACACCCTTTTACCCCGCCAATTGACTTCCTGCTTCACTGGACACTGCTGTTAGGGGTTATGGATTTACTTGAAAGATGAAAGCATAAATTAGAGAGAAATTAGCATAGCGTATGTGTTTTCTTATAGCTGCATCCTATGAGTATCCATCCAGCACCATCTCCATCAGATACATGACGCTTGGGAGGTATGACTGTTTTAGTGTTTTTGGTCGATAAGATTCTGTAATAAGGCCCATCATAATTGTCAGCACCAGGCCCACTATGCTCTTAATCCGGCCCTGTCTTTACTACTCAGTAAGGATGATTGTGTTTTTCCATTGAACTCCGTGCTTAAAACTAATGCAATATCTGAATACAAAAAAGGAAGGAAGTGAGTGATAGGAGCAGTGTATTCAGGGTTGTAGCACACCAACAATTTGTAGATGTGTAATCACCATTTCTCTACAGAGGAAGATGGCACACACTTCAACATTTCTTAAAACCGTGGTCATTTTTATATTAATCTATCCACTACTATGGCATGTGAAAGGTAAGTTTTTTAGCACATATTTTATGGCGAACTGTAAATATAATGCTTTTTTTTTTGTGGTCAGCTCTGTTGGATGATTAAGTATAGAATTTGTTGAAACCACAAGGTTGACATTTTCATATACGGCAGTGTTTACATTTAAATTGATGAGGGCCAATAAATGATGTGGATTTCTGTAACTGCAAGTTGTTTAACATGTGACAGTGTGTGTCAGAGCACTCTGAATTACCTTGAGGAAAACAAATGTATAGAAATATTATTATTTTTATGCTGTCTGTAGCAATATAAATTGGTAAAACAGGTGCTAAGTTTGATGCAGGCTAAATGTTTACGTGATGGGTGAATTAAGAATTTTGGGGTCCAGTTAGTAGCTTCAATATTTTAGAATTGTTGCTTTGAGTTCCAGTACAGCTTACTTTGCCTTTCATTCCTCTAAGTTTGCTAAAATTTGTATTTTTAAAAGGATCCTAAAGTCACCCAGAGCACTTCATCTGAATATGTAAAACACTGCAGGTGCATTACATTGCAGAGTTAAGTTTACTTCTAAAAGAGGCCGTTCCTCATTCATGACGTCACAGGAGAAGGAGAGGTCAGTAGCATTGAGGGAGTCTGGTACTGGAAAAAGATAAATAGGGAACCTTTATAGATCAAGGAACAGGGACATTATAGTGTTGGGAATACATATTGGTATATCTAATACTATAGCGTTCCTTTAAGCTGTGTGATAACATCTAAACCACTGGGTGTTTAAAGCCAAAAAAAAAAAAACAAGCTATTGTCGCCCAACTTTTCCATTGGGATATAAATTCATTACAATTCAGAGTTTACTGAATAGAGCTCAGTGAGTTTTATTGAGCTGAATTGTGAAGTTAAAGGACCACTATAGTGCCAGGAAAACAAACTAATTTTCCTTGCACTATAGTGCCCTGAGGGTGCCCCCACCCTCAGGGTCCCACTTCCGCCGGGCTGAAGGGGGAGGAAGGGGGTTAAACACTTGGCGCAGGGGAATCTCCTCCCTCTTCTGATGTCATCAGCTGAATGCGCATGCGCGGCAAGAGCCGCGCGCACATTCAGCCAGTCCATAGGAAAGCAATCTCAATGCTTTCCAATAGATGCTCTCATCTTCTCACTGTGAAAATCACAGTGGGAAGCGGGGAAGCACCTCTAGCGGCTGTCAGTAACCCTGTTAACATAGTTTTCAGCTGCAGGGTTAATAATAGATGGACCTGGCATCCAGACCACTTCATTGAGCTGAAGTGGTCTGGGTGCCTATAGTGGTCCTTTAAGGCTAGAATAGTCAAACTGTAGCTACAACTAAATTGTAAAATATTTCCAAGTCAGCTCTTTTGGCCCTTCATTTTGTAACGTGTTTTTCAGTTCAGGTACACTATTTAGCCAATACACCCTGGCAGGGCCGGACTGGGAGAAAAATTCGGCCCGGGCATTTTTTTAACACAGCGGCCCACTAAGAAGGGGGCGGGGGCAGAGGAGGTGTGTTTTGTCATCACCAATGACAAACACGCCCCCTCTCAAAGTGAGCATGTTGGTTCAATGCTCTTCCAGGGCAGACCATGCGCAGAGCTCTGCTGAAGAGCTCTAGCATGATAAAAAAAGCCCTGTATTTGTTCTGCACAGTGCAAGCAAATTTAATAGCATGCTTGCACTGTGTTTCCTTGCAAATTGTCTCTGGTGTCTCTATAAAGATACCAGGAAACAAAAATGCCAGGAAAGAGTATTGTGCATGTGTTTGGAGCCTGCTTGTGGTATTGCGTGAGCTGATTGTGGTGCGGTATTGTGTAATAAGGTTGGTTTTAGTCATGTTGTGTTTGTGGTGTAATGTGATGCATATGTGGCTAGGGGCTGTAGAGAATGTGTGTATTGGGGATATAGCAAGTGTGTGCATACAGGCTATAGTGTGTGTGTGTGTGTGTGTGTATATAGGTGATGTAGTGTATGTTTAGGGGTGTAGTATGTGTTTGCTTACAAGGAATCTAGTGTGTGTATAGGGGATCCAGAGTGTGTATGTTAAGAGTGTAGTGTGTGTGTATATATATAAATATATATTTGGAAGTATTGTGTATGTATGTGGTGCAGTGTGTTGAGGGGGTTCTGTGTGTATGTGAGGGGTGCAGTATGTGTGTCTGAGGGGTGCGGTGTGTGATGTGTGTGAGAGTGCGGTGTGTGAGAGTGCTCTGTGTGATGTGTGTGTGTCTGATGAGTGTGAGAGTGCTGTGTATGATGTGTGTGAGAGTGCCGTGAGTGAGAGTGCTGTGTGAGAGAGTGCTGTGTGAGAGTGCTATGTGTGTGAGAGTGCGTGAGTGCTGTGAGAGACTGCTGTGTGAAAGAGTGCTGTGTGTGAGAGTGCTGTGTGTGAGAGTACTGTGAGAGAGTGCTGTGTGTGAGTGCTGTGAGAGAGTGCTGTGAGAGAGTGCTGTGTGAGAGAGTGCTGTGTGTGAGTGCTGTGTGAGAGAGTGCTGTGAGAGAGAGTGCTGTGTGTGAGAGTGCTGTGAGAGAGTGCTGTGTGTGAGAGTGCTGTGTGAGAGTGCTGTGTGTCAGAGAGTGCTGTGTGTGAGAGAGTGCTGTGTGTGAGTGCTGTGTGTGAGTGCTGTGAGAGAGAGTGCTGTGTGTGAGAGAGTGCTGTGTGTGAGAGAGTGCTGTGTGTGAGAGAGTGCTGTGTGTGAGAGTGATGGGTGTGAGAGAGTGCTGTGTGTGAGAAAGTGCTGTGTGTGAGAAAGTGCTGTGTGTGAGAGTGATGGGTGTGAGAGTGATGGGTGTGAGAGAGTGCTGTGTGTGAGAAAGTGCTGTGTGTGAGAAAGTGCTGTATAAATGTTAGAATGGATTGTGTGTGTAGGGGGGAGGGGGGTTAAATAAATAAAGTAGGCATTATGTCCCCCCCTCCCTTCTTACCTTTAGCCTGGGAGGGGGGGACCGGCACACTGATCCCTGGGACTGGGAGGCGGGGTTCCCTGGTGGTCCTCGTGGTGAGATCCGGTCGTTGCCATGGCAACGCACCGGATCTCGCGAGAGGAACCCGGCGGAGCTCTAATTTAGAGCTCCGCCGGGTCCTCTCTCCTAGCGGCTGTCTCCCTCCCTCTCCCCCTGCCCGCGGCCGCATTATACAGCATGTGGGCCGGTGAGGGAGATCTTTGATTTCCCTCACCGGCCCTTCATGGAAAACAGCGGGGCCGGCGCTCGGATAGTGCCGGCCCTGCATAGACCGGCAGGGGAGATCCTGGGACCTCCCCTGCC